ACATACTACCCCCTTACATATATGTATAACACTTTTTTTAGTTATTAAATGTGACATCTTAAAATCACAAATACTGCAAAATACTTTATTTTCGCTTGGAATTGTTTTTTGCTATTTTCGCTGAAGGAATGATTCAGTGAAAATAAAACCCAGCGAATATACCTTTTTTCCTATATTTCACATTCAACTTATCAAAAATCCATACAAAACACCTAAACAGCCTTTTCAGCGAAAGCAATTCCAGCTAAAACAAAGTATTTTACAGTAATTTTTTTTTTAACAATTTTGATCAACACCTGAAAGTAACTAAAAATTATGTCCATTTGGTCCAAAATTAACAAATAAATAAAAAAATCATAGAAAATGTGCAAAAAGTGAACAAACATTTTTGCAGGAATTTAGCATTTAAAATATTAACAATAGTCATTTTCAACACCACCCTGAAACAGCATTATATTGGGCACACCTCTTGGTGCAAAGAAAACTTCTAAAATCTCATCAGATCATTCAACTCATTTAGTCTCCAAGTTTCAGAAAAATTCCAATGAAATATATGAAGGTCACTAGATAGGTGATACTATACTGTATATCTCATGTTCTCTGTTTACTTTATAACTTCAAGACATTCAATACAAACATATTATTTACGATGCAATGGAGTTCAATCCAAAATGTGAATGATATTTTTTCTCTCCCAAGAAACATGATGTTGATGTATTTTGGACCAAATCTAGAGAATACTATTATACTGATTGATTTTGATCGATTATTTCACATATTAATTTTTATTTGTTGAAATAAGAGGTAAGAAAAGTTGACTGTTAAAGGGGTGAAAGTTGACGATGGCTGAAAGGTTAAGGGTCAAAGTTGGTAATGCAAGTAAAAGGATAAGGATAAAAGTTGACAATGGTGGTAAAAGGGGTTAATGGTCAAAATAGACAATGATAGTAAGGAGTAAGGTCAAAGTTGAAATGGTGTTGAAAGGTTAAGGGTCAAACTTTAAAATTTCAGTGAAAAGGTCAAGGATCAAATTGACAATGGCAGCTAAAAGTTTAAGGGTCAAAGTTGACAATGGCAGGAAAATGTTTAAGGGTCAAAGTTGACAAATGTAGTGAAAGGGTCAAGGGTCAAATTGACAATAGTGTTGAAAGGTTTAAGGGTCAAAGTCAACAATGGCAGTCGAAAGTTTAAGGGTCAAAGTTTACAATGTCAGTGAAAGACTTATTGTACAATTTTTAAGCTATAAGTCCATGGTAACATGAAAAAAGCATTATTTTATATGTTACAGGACAATATTTTTAGCAATGTGGCCAAATATTATTCAAAAATTGCTATTAGAACACAATGTTAAGAAAAGTTTTTTTTTAATTCAGGGTAACAAAAAGTACACAATCAATCAATATTTATATCGTTTTCACCCTACATGTCACCAGCCTTGCAATTAAAGATATGGCATAATATCTCCACCATAGGAACCAAAGCATTCTGACAAAATGGCCGCCTTTCACTACAGGTGAATTGTAACTATCCTTTTCTCGAAAAATTGGCTTGTGACCCCAAAATTTATCGCAAACTAAACAAATTCTGGATATTTTTATTTTCAATAAATTCATGGATTCACAGTGATTTTTACACAAAAAATGGCAGTAAGAACATTCTTAAATCAACAAATCAAGAAAGATACTAACAGCGATAATATATCAGTTCATTCACTAAATACCCACTCAATGTGACGTACATCAGTCGTCAACGGTGAAGTGAAACTTCAGACAAGAATGAAGAGCACTTAGGAACAAGAATAGTATCTAACATCTCAAGTTAAAAAAGTCAATAAATAAAATTCAAGGTAGCCATTTCGTTGGAAGAGGACAATGACATACACATGAGAATGAATTACACTTTTAACCTTCTTCAACACCAAAGTCAACTTGTGCCACCTTTACATACAATAAACCTCTGGTCGTCTTTTTTATAAATTTGATCAAGACTTA